CAAGGATACAACTAGCCACACGTGTACTTTTGGTACCTAATTTAAGTAGTCCGCCTGGGTTCTACACTAGCCACCATGCCTGCAATCTAACTAGGAGATTACCTATTTAAGCTCTCTGATTATTAACTAACGAGAGTACGACTAGCCATGCATGCAACTTTTGGTTACCTGAATTCTATATTTTCATAAAATTTAAATAAAAAAAAAATTCATCAAATTTGGCTCTGTTTTAATAAACACAAACCTCTTAAATAGAAATTTTTTTAAACTTTGAACAAATCTATTTCAACAATTATCAATCAAATTTTGATTAATTTTTTTTTTATTTGAATTCTACTAATATAGAATTCAAATAAAAAAAAAAATTTATCAAAATTGAGTTGAAAGTTGTCAAGATATATTCATACAAAGTTCAAAAAAAATTTTATTAAATTTTTTTAACTGTTAGTGAAAATTTCTTAACAACCACTAGGTCAAATCTAATAAACTTTTTTTTATTTTAATTCAACAAATTAGTAGACTTTAAATAAAAAAATTTGTTAAATTTTGCCTAGTGGTTGTCAAGATATCTTTACTTAAAGTTTAAAAAAGTTTGAGATATAAATATCAAATTGCTGATTTCTAGATTTTTGGATTCTTAGAGATTGGGATTCTACAGCCTAGTAGTCTAGGCATCTAATTCTCTATGAGCAGGTTTCAGATTTAAGTCCTAGTAGATACATTTATCTATAAATATTTAAATGTACTTACATATAAGAAGTCCAAGTGAGTACTTATTTGAAATAAGAATTTCTGAAAAGAGGTTTATTGTGAAGAGATAGCACTATGTATAACAAGCAGATGTTACTGAAGGTTCTATTATCTGAAGGTTGTGCATATAAATCCTCGGTTGGTATAAGTAGCACCAACAATCTCTAAAGTAGCATTGGGAATCTTGATTGGGAGAATAACCAAATAGTAACTAGAATTGTAGCAGTGAGAAAAGTGGTGAAATACAAAAGAACCTGTGATAAAGAATTGGTCTTATCAAATTTGAAACACCTTTGGTATTGTACAGAATTCTCTGGCCAATAAGAAGTTAAAACATGGAGGTGTGTATGTGTTAATAGATCCAATAGGCTCTGGCTGTATTCATATGGAAGTTTTTGAATATTAAGAGGATTTGGGACTACCAATATAAGTATAGCTAGTATAAGTGTATATAGTTGTAACCAAGCTATAACTGCCAAGAATCACTATAAAAAGAAACAATAATGTACTTGTTATGCAAAGAGCTTTATGATGCCATCCAACTATACTAAGTACTGGAAGCATATACAAAACATATCTAGGTGCCTCGTTATCATATTGGGGAGTACAGTTATTAGCACAATTACTGAATTCAATATATTAAGACCTGGGTTTTAAAGTTGAAGAAAACCAGCTAATTATGGCAGCATATAGGCTTAAGATACTTACCCAATTGGGTAGAGATAGCTGTATAGCTTGAAATACGAACTCCTGAAAGTACACTAGTAGAGATTAAGAAAAAATCTCTTTGTCAGATACATCAAACCAAAAGCAAAAAGCATCTACTTAGAGTAATATATACTAATTTGGGAGTTGAAATAGTAGGTAATATGGGTAATATGGCAGACATATGAATACCAATTGGCAGTTAAAGAGGGAAGTACAAATCTAGGTCAGCTATATAGTAGGAGTACAAGAAGGCTCTGGTGAGTTTTTAGCTATAGATAAATGGTTTGTATAACTTGATATACTAGTCTTAGTTCTTATATATAATATGTATATGTATTAGCACTATTTTTTTATTTTTTTTTTTTAATATTAAGGTGACCACTTAGGCCCCCGGCACTTGGCTTTATTTAGATAAATACGATATTATATCAATTTT